ACACACACACACACACACCTCCAATCGTGATTCTCCCCCCCCCCCCGCATTGCCAATCAACCACCCCAACAAGTGCTACTACCGATCGATCGATCGGATTCGATCCACGAATAAAGTTAAATTTTCGAAAAAAAAAGGTACACCCTCATTGTCAATCAACCACTCCAACAAGTGTTACTACCGATCGATCGATCCACGAACGAAGTTGAAATTTCGAAAACAAAAGGTGGGGGGGAGAATCGCAATTCTCCACCCCACCCTCATTGCCAATCAACCATTCTATCAAGTGTTACTACCGATCGATCCATGAATAAAGTTGAAATTTCGAAAATAAAAGGTGGGGGGGAGAATCGCGATTCTCCCCCCGCCCTCAATGCCAATCAACCATTCCAACAAGTGTTAATCGATCCATGAATACACAAGGGCGAAATTTTGAAAAAAAAGAGGTGGGGGGGAGAATCACGATTCTCCCTCCCACCCTCATTGCCAGTCAACCATTCCATCAAGTGTTAATCGATCCACTAATAAAGTTGAAATTTTGACAAAAAAAGGCGGGCGGGAGAATCGTGATTCTCCCCCCCACCCGCATTGCCAATCAACCATGCCTACGATTGTTACTACGGATCGATCGATCCACGAATAAAGTTTAAATTTTCAAAAAAAAAGAGCGGGGGGGGCGCGATTCTCCCCCCCACCGGCATTGCCAATCAACCATTCCAACAACTGTTACCGCCGATCAATTCACGAATAAAGTTGAAATTTTGAAAGAAAAAAGTTGTCAATCAACCATTCCATAAAATGTTAATCGATCGACGAATAAAGTTGAAATTTTGACAAAAAAGGCGGGCGGGAGAATCGTGATTCCCCCCCACAACCGCATTGCTAATCAACCATTCCTACAATTGCTACTATCGATCGATCGATCCACGAATAAAGTTGCAATTATGAAAAAAAAAAGTGCGGGAGGAGAATCACGATTCTCCCCCCCTCCCGCATTGCCAATCAACCATTCCTACAATTGTTACTACCGATCGATCGATCCACGAATAAAATTTAAATTTCCAAAAAAAAAAAGAGCGGGGGGGGAGA